ATCCTATTTCCTATTTTGTTTTTTATTTAGTTTTTATTTGCAGAAGAATCTTGAGTTCTTAGGAGTTTTTTGGTTTTTTTTTAATTTTTACAAAAACATTATTGAGAATTTCATACATGCATACAAGGTGTTTTAATCAAATCCATGCCCACTTTTTTTTTAATCCTATGGCAACAGGAATCAAACTGGGTCACACCAAGAAAAGTGACTGTGTTAGTTACCTGTTTAGTTGCGATGACAAAATACTTGATGAAAACAATTTTGGCTCACAGTTTTGGTATTCCATCTATGACTAGGAAGGCATGGCAGGAGAAGCTGGTGACATTGCAGCCATAGTCAACACAAAGAGATGAATGCTGGTGTTCAGTTTGCATTCTTCTTTTGATTTGGTCCAGGATCCCAGCCTATGCAATGGTGCCACCCACATTTAGGGTGGGACTTCTGTCCTCAGTTCACACAGTCTGTAAACTCCCTCCCCGGCATGCCCAGAGGTTTGTGTCTTCAGTGATTCCAAATCCTGTCAGGTTGACAAATCAGCGTTCACCATCACACTGGCCAATCAAAGTCTCCAGAGCCAAGTTAAATGGTGGCCTGAGAGTTCAGTCTTTCTAATTGTCTCTGCAGCTGGGGCTGATCACTCTGTGGACTTTTGTTTGGAAACCACCCTAATCTGATTGTGTCAGATTGCACCTCTACAGCCCCTACAATTCATATGTTGGACCACTCATCCTAAGTTAGGAATTGGAACCATTGAGAAGTGGTGGGTACCTTCTGGATACTCCAAAGTTCCTGCTGTGGACAACTCTCAACTTCCTATCTTCTGTCTTCCCTCAGAATGCTCCCTGACTAGGACTCCACTTCCTCCCAGGTCTTTCTAAATGGTTAAACTTCCTTGGTAATTAAAAATTTTAAGAAGAGGATTGCTAAATCTAAAGAGCTTCAGTAAGAATTGAGGGTGTTTCCTTGTGCATTTTGCATTCCTGAAGCTGAGTAAGTTATGAAGAAAAGAGATTTGTTTTGACTGGTAGCTCTGGTTGCAGGGGAGTTCAGGATCAGGTAGCTATACCCAGCAAGGGCTTTATGCTGTGTCAGTGAGTGGCAGAGAAGTAGACAGGGTATGCTCACAGGGTCAAAGGATTAGCATGTGGGTAGCCTGACTTTATAACAACCTACTCCCTTAGTGACTAATCTTCACCTTTGAGACCTAATCCCCAAAGACTTAAACCTCTCATAAAAACATCAGTCCATCTTTTTTCTGATGGGGTGGGGGTACTGAGACAGGGTCTCGCTATAGTCCCAGCTGGCCTAGAACTTGCTATAGACCAGGCTGGTCTTGTCTCTCAGAGATTCACCTGCCTCGGCCTGGGATGAAAGACACATGCCACCAATCCCAGCATGTCAGTTCATCTTAAAGGTGGTACCACTTGACCTCATCACATCCCCCACCCCCAATCTTCACAGTAATGCTCTGAGAAATTCAGTTTCAACTCAGGCTCCTACAAGAACAAATTACATCAAGTCACAGGATGGAACTCACATTCTTCCTTCTTCAGCAGTTGGCAAACTGTGCACGCATGCCACACACAAAGGCCCTCCAAAAGCACAACTGTCCTACAAGAATAAGTCTCTTCTCTGAACCCTTACCTTCCATGTGTGCTTCATCCTAGACAAATCTTCCTCATGGTGGGCCTGCAATGGAGACACTTTTCTTTCTCCCTTTTCCCCATAGTTGTGTTTTTCTCTTCACCTATGAAAAGCCTACATCTAGCCCTTCTTAATAATCCATGTTAGTGAAGGGCATATCTCTAACTCATTTTAGCAAGTTGCTTTGTCCAAGGATGTAAAGATCTCATAGGCAAGAAGAGGAAAAGTGTGTGTCAGGGTACACATTTGAGAGTGTTTACTAAGTTTGAGGGGTGAAGGTGCTGAGTGATTCTAATTCCTAAACAGGGATATTCTTGCAAGTCATGTGTGTTCTAAATATTTCTTTAATAAAAGTAAAGCAGGTCTAATGAGATGGCTTGCTGGGTAAAGGTGCTTGCCGTCAAGCCTGAGGACCTGAGTTTCATCCCCTGGAACCCACACCATGGAAGGAAAGAACCAACTCCCACAAGTTGTCCTTTGAACTCCACACATATGCCATGGCGTGGTGCACACACAATAAATAAAAACACAAAATAATGAATAAATACAAATATAGGGACTGGAGAGATGGCTCAGCGGTTAAGAGCACTGACTGCTCTTGCAGAGGACCCGGGTTCGCTTCCCAGCACCCACATGACGGCTACAAACTGTCCTTAACTCCAGTTCCAGGAGAACCTGAGCCCTCTTCTGACCTCTGTGGCATTGCACGACATGGTGCACTCACATACATGCAGGCAATACACTCATGCACGTAAAATAAAAATAATAAATAAAATATTTTAAAAATAAGAAAAAACAAGTGAAATAAACAGCAATCTACAGTCTAAGTTGTACACTGATGTTTAAAGGGTGAACTTCAGAAGAATTAAATCATGAGTGTCATACAAATGATGAACACTTACAAAACTGTTTTTTAAATAAAATAGCCAGAAAGATTTTCCAGGCAGTTTAAAGAAGACAATTTACAATATAAGAATGAATTTACTGAAAAGATGTGCAAATTGAGTCTTCCACAGTGGACGAGAGGTCGGTTGGAACTTCACAGAATAAAGCGTTGGGGGTTGGTTTGTTTTTACATGCCTGTAAACAGTAATTACTTGTTTTACTACCCTTTTGTTGTTGTTGTTGTTTTACAAGTTAACATCTGTCCCTACAGAGCTATAAAGTAGCCTAATCAAAGATGGTGACTGTCTCAAACAACCCAGAAGGATGAGTAGTTCGGATGCTGACTAAATCTGTACTTCCCCACTAATCCTCACACTGATGATGACAATATTTTTTGATGTATCATCACCAGGAGATATTTTGTGTGTCATATGGGAGGAGTTTCAAGTGACATTTCTATAACAGCGTTCTTCATCCATTTCTATCCTTTTATTTATGCTTTACTGTATTACAGATTTCAAAAAACCAAATTGACACTCAATCCTAACTCACTTTAAAAATAAGTACAATTACCCACACATGCATGAAATAATTTAAGACGAAGGTGCTCGGAGGAGGATTTCCAGTAAAATATTTTTTATTTAGTAGTTATTTGTCAAAGCTTGTAGTATTTGTGCTGTGGGTTATTTTTTTATATAATTTAGATCCCAGTCATAGTGATGATGGTATCAGAAGAATTTTTTAATCATTTAAAAAATTTACGACAACATAGCTATTTTTGATACAGGAAAGTGTGGAGGAGTGCTGAGTAGAAGACATAGTTAAAACAATCTCCTGCAGGACAGGAGGAATTAAATATAGCTTTAAGGAGAAAATAGAATTTTGCAAATTTGTGACTGCTGAGGAGCAGCCTATTTGTGTTTTCTTCATAAATGAATAATGCTGGGACTGGAGAGATGGCTCAGCGGTTAAGAGCACATACTGCTCTTCCAGAGGACCCAAGTTTGCTTCCTAACACCTACGTCAGATGGCTCATAACTGCCTATAGCTTCATTTCGAGGGAACCAACGCCCTCATGGAATCTGCAGGCACCTGCACTTGTGCACATTCCCACACAGAGGTTTAGCAGTTAAGACCACTGGCTGGTCCTGCAGAGGGCCTGGTTAGGTGCTCAGCATCCACATGGCAGCTAACAACCATCCATAATTCCTGTTCCAGGGGATCCAGTGCCTTCTGGCCTCCTTGGGTGTCAGGCACGCATGTGGTATACTCACATACATGTAGGCAAAACACTCATATACATAAAATTAAATGAAATCTTTTTTAAAAAAAAATTTAAATTTGAGGCTGGAGAGGTAGCTTAGTGGTTAAGAGCACTGACTGCTCTTGCAGAGGACCCAGGCTCAGTTTCCAGCACCCACATGGCAGCTAACAACTGTCTGTAACTCCAGTTCCAGGGAATCCTATGCCCTCTTCTGACCTCCTCAGGCATTGCATGACACAGGTGCACTTACACACATGCAGGCAATACACTCATACACATAAAATACAAAGAAATAAAATGTTTTTTAAATTTTAAAAATCTTTTAAAAATGGAGAGTAATGACTTTATCTGGTGTATCAGGGTGAGCACTAACTCCATTTTGCTTTTCCACATAGCATTTCAGGGGTGTTCTTTGCAACTATTTGTGTTTTGGAATTTTACATTTCAATCTAAAAATATACAAGAAGACACCACACAATTCTTTTAGGCTGCCTACAGATAAAAATGCGGAAATTCTCATAGTTTGACCTACTTTTGCTTTCTGACCAAAAATCAAGAATCAATGATATTGTAAGACTGAATGAACCAATAATTGAATGAATCAATGAATGAACCAATAATTCACTCCCTGTTCTGATTTAGGCACAATAATAAATAGCTAAAAGTCTTGGTACTTATTATACCTCTCAAAAGGAGATGATTATAGTCCACCACATATTCATCCTCTCCCCCCACTTTCCGTCTCTCCCTCCTTCTCTCTCTCCCTCCCCCTCCCACCCTCCCTTCCTCTTTCCCTCTCCCTTTTCTTTTTGGTTATCATTTATGTGCAGTGCTCATCTTAATTTTTCTTCCCTTTGATGAAGTCACTATACATCATTGGGGGTGAATGTGTGTTATAAACAGACAGCTCTATCTGGATCTACATGTTTGTCTTTCATTCTCAATTTGTGAAATACTCAGTTATTATGTCTTTTTCCTTTTCTTTTCTTTTCTTTTCTTGACTTTTGAGACTCTGTAGCCCAGGCTGGCTTGGAACTCACTTTGTAACCCAAGGGAGCCTCAAACTCATGGCAATCCCTCTGCCTCAGCTTTCCAAGTGCTGTGATTACAGGTGTGAGCCACCTTGCCTGGCTGTTATTGTTTCTTAAAATATGCTTCCCTTCTCAGTCTCTTTCTCCTCTAATTTTCACTTTCTTTTTTCTTATAGTTTCTACAACTCTAGTAAGAACTACTGCTTTTCAGTTACTTCAAGGATATTAACTTCATCCCCTCAACCTCAGTTAAAATGGTAAATCTCTCTGAAAATTCCAACATCCATGTCACCTTGGGGCTGTTTGTTAATTATCTTCTTTCTGGAGAATTGATTACAGTTCTCCAGTCCCTCACCTATCAAATGATTTTGGGTTGAACTTTGGACATCTGAGCAGTATATTGTGAGACTCTGGGTCCTTTGGGAAATGCCCAGTTGTCTTTGTTTTTATCATTTTGCTACTTGGTTTTGTTTTATTACCAGCCAATCAGTTCTGTTCTGTGTTGTATTCAGTGGGGAATAATTCCAGCGTCAGTTCTATTTCCAAAGCTTTGAGTCACATGTGTGCACTATTTAAGGGTCAGCATTGGACACAAGCAGTGGTTTATGATTGTTCCGTTCTCAAGGACTGTGGGGCTGTCCCACACATACACAACTCAAGGGGAGACTGGGACACCCCCAGAATCAGGGTGTTCCCTTCCTCAAATCTCTTCTCTCTGGGATCTCCCCATACCCTTCTGCCCATGCGTATGCTGTTTCCCGTTCTGGCCAGAAAGACTGGATTTCTTTTGGAAGTTTCAGCTGTGCATCCTGCTGCAGTGTAGTTTTCCCAGATTAGTCTCAGGACAAAGCAGTGAGGAAAAAATAGCAGCCAGTGCAGAAGTGCACAGTGCAGGCCCACACACTGCTTAAGTTAGTGAAGAAGAGCCGAACTCATCTATGGGAAATAGGGAAACGGGACTCAGACAGGTCAATCATTAACTGGGGTTCCCATGGATATATGGATTGTTACTGAAGGGGCTGTGTCTCGGGTAAGGTTCTCTGATTCCCAAAAAGCTTTTTCTATTATATCAAATTACAGGTCAGAGCATCCTGTTCGAGATTTCAGTTTAGAGCAGAATTACTTATTCTAAAAAGTCAGTGGCATGGAGCCAGAAAGACAACTCTGCAGTTAAGAGCACTTCCTACTTTTGCAAAGTTCAGTTCCCAGCACCCATGTCAGGTAGCTCAAACCAACTGTAACTCCACCTCCAGGGGACCCAAAGCCCTTTTCTGGCCTCCCCAGGCACCTGCACACAGGGGTGAACACTCACACACACACTTATACACTTAAATCAAAAACTAAATCTTTTTTGAAAGTCCACAGGAATTGGTTCTGAGGACAGAACCCATCTGTGCAGGGAGGAAACATGAGATGGTAAGATAATCTCTTAATGTATGATATTTTGCTTTCCTGTATTCTACTCAGAATTGGTAGAAAAAACAGGAAGTAGATCCCTCCAGGGAGATGACCTCTGAACTGTAGGACTCTGGAAGACATCTTAAAGGAGTTGGGATTGGTGGACCGGGACCAGCAGTGCCAGGAAGGACCCCTGGTAGGGACCGTAAAACACAACAGCACAGCACAGCACAGCACAGCACAGATGTGGGGTGGGGTGGTACATGTGGGGGAATGCAGAGCCGTCTTTGTAGTGCTGGGGTTCTCTCTGGACCCTGGTGAGCTGCCATGTGAGCTAGATGGGGTATCTGAAAAGAAGTCTGTCTTCTCAGCCATGGCTTAAGTTGAAGTGGTAGAGGAATCCATCCAGGATCTCACAGGTGCTTTCTCTAGTTTTAGGAATAATTTTAAGTGTTTTGTTTTGGTTTTTTTTTTCCACTTACCTAACTCTCTGATCTTTCCTATTTTGATTATATTGCCCGAAACTTTTCTGAAATAAGAAAGACATGGTGGCTGTGTAAGTCAGGTCTGTTTCACTGTCTCAAAATATGTTTGGACCCACGTTTTCAGAGTCTTTGGTCCGTGGCCTCTTGGCCCTGCTGCGTTGGAGCAGTGCTGGGACAGTGTTTGCTAGCGGGAAGGAGAGATAGATGCCAAAAAGCAAATAGATGAGTAGAGATGGGTCCCCATAGCCCTTGGAAGGCATCCTCTCAGCAACCTGCCTTCCTCCCACTCAGCCTACTGTCTCTCAGAGAGTCATGAGCTGGAGACCAAACCTTCAACCCGAGACTTTTGCATGACATTTAAGATCCAAACCGAAGAGTGACTTATATTTACTGTTTGACAGGAAGTTGGCTCCAGAAACGGCATAGGGCATTCCAAGGCAGGCTTGTTGTTAGTATAAGCATCATTGTGTGGTGAAAAGTCCTTGTTCAACTGAACATAGCTGACTTCCATTGGCCTCCTACTACAGCTGGGTAAGAAAGGTATTTCAGTACAACTCAATTTTCTAGATATCACCATTGTCCCTAGCTCAGAGTAGGGACTGACCAAATGAAACAGACATCCAGGGACATGGTCAGGGGATACATGAATTGTCTTTCTACAACCCAGTACCCTAATTAAGAAGAGTGAATCTAAAGATGACCTCCTCCAGTGACTGGTAGTTTCCTAGGAAAGGAAAAACGTGTGGTGTATTTGTGGCTAAGAGAATTTATCTAGGACAGAGTGGTTTGATAGTAGTTTAACAATTTAGGGGGAGGGGGTCTTTTTGAGACAGGGTCTCCCTGTATCCCTAGCTGGTCTGGAACTTGCTATGTAGACCAGGCTGGCCTTGATGTCATAGAGATTCACCTGTTTCTGCCTCCTGAGTGCTGGGACTAAAGGCATGTACTACCACACATGACATAACAAATATTCTTGAATTTTGGTGTGCTTACAGAGAAATGAGCCTATTGTGACTTTATTTCTGCAGAGAATTGTACTATACTAGTTGTCCAACTTCACTATGACAAAAGGTTTGAAAGTCTTCAGTTTTCTATACTTCATTTCCTATTTAATACCTAGGCTCCTTATCACAGAAACTGATGGATCCAAGTTTCCTTTAAAGGATTACCAGAGGGCCTAGGTGATGGCTCAGTCTGTAAAGTGCTTGCCATGGGATTCCAAGAATCCCATGAGTTTCATCACCGGAACCCATGTCAAAAGCTGATCATGGTGGCATGTACTTATAAACCATCCTAGTGCCAGGGAGATGAAGACAGGTACAAATTCACCTAGGATCCTTGGGGTTCCAGCCTAACTGAATCAGTGAGGTCCAGGTCAGGTGAGAGACCCTGTCTCAAAAAGTAAGATAGGGTCTGGGGAGATGGCTCCCTGGATAAAAGCATAGGTGTGCAGGCAAGAGGACTTGAGTTCAGATCCCCAGCACCCACATAAAAGTTGGGCATGGCCATGTGTGCCTTTAACCTCAGCACTGTGGCTATCAGCCTAGCTCTAGGACAAGTGAGAGACTCTGTCCTAAGGGAATCAGATGGAGTGTGATAGATCAGGTCACCCAGACTCTTCCTCTGACCTCCCCAAGTGCATGGGCATGCATCCCCACACACACACACACACATATGCACACATACGTAAAGTGTACAGCACCTGAGGAATGACATCTGGGGTTGACCTCTGGCCCATGCATGGATACATATACACATGCATGCATGCACAGTTGCTCTCTCTCTCTCTCTCTCTCTCTCTCTCTCTCTCTCTCTCTCT